AGCAAAAGGCAGGAGGAAACAGGAACAAAGGAAACACAGACACCAGTAAAGTGGAGAGGAAAAGGGAGACAAAGCAAAAAATAAAAGATAAAAAGATGATTTGTGGAGAAAGGAAGGAGAATAGGAGAAACCCAAGGCCGCAAAATTCAGGCTTCTCATGGCAGTAAAAGAGCAAAGGAGAAAACAGAGGGTAAATACGGGCAGTCTGTATTCAATAAAGACAATAACACCACCACAATCATCTTCATGAATGAAATATGAGACCACAAAAACATCATTGTTTGACCATAGACCCATAGAGAGGACATAGGATCACTTGGGCCCCATAGGACCCCATGGAGACACCATAGGCCCTTCTCTGCCCCCCAGAGACTCCCAAAGAACCTTGGACCCTGTAGAGACCCCCCTAGGAATCCCCATTCCCCCCTAGGAACCCATACACCCCACAGAGGCCCCACAGAGACTCCCTAGGACTCCCTATAACCCTCTAGGATCCCATAGGACCCATAGAGACCTCACAGAGAAACCATAGGAGCCTGTAGGACTCCACAGGACCCCTTAGAGATCCCAGAGACCCCCAAGGGAGCACAGGCCCCATTGAGACCCCAGGGTCTCTAAGGGGACCTAGGGGGCTATAGGGGGTCCTATGGGGCCCTATGGGGTCTACCTGGAGTCCTAGGGGTCTCTATGGAGACCTAAGGAGTTATAGGGGGCTCTGGGGCTTCCACGGCATCTCCATGGGGGTCTATATGGGGGCCTATGAGGTCCTAGGGAGTTATAAGGGGGCCCTATGTGGCATATGGGGTTTTAAGGGATTATAGGGGATCTCTGTGGGGCAGGTAAGGCCCGATAGTTGCTCTATGGGGGGTCCTATGGGGTCTCAGTGAGGCCTGTGGGGTCCTAGGGGCTATAGGGGATCCTAGGGGGTCTCTATGGTGTGCTAGGTGGTATTATGGTGTTCACAGGGGGTCCTAGAGGGTCCAGTGGGGCCCCATGAGGACCTAGGGGATTACAGAGGATCTTTGTGGAGTCTGTGGGATTCTATGGGGTCTCTATGGGCACTATGGGGACCCAAGAGGTCTCTGTGGGACCTACGGGGTCCTAGGGGGTTATAGATGGTTTCTATGGTGTCTCTATGGGATCCTAGGGGGGCCTATTGCATCTCTATGGGGGATTCCAGGGGGCTGTAGGGGGTCTCTGTGGGGCCTGACCCACAGACCCTCC